TGCTCTTGAGGTCCACATGACCTTCAGCGCCTTCGGGGATGAGGTACTCCGCCACTTCCGCATCCTTCAGTTCCTTGATGTCCTCTGCAAGATGCAGCGAGTGTTCACCTTTCGGTCCCACCTTTATCGCATGCCATTCACGATCCGGCCATCTCATCATGTTCTTACCGTAGTCCACCGCGATGCCCATCTTCTCCAGCACGGGGCGTCCAAGCAGGATGGGGGCTGTTCCACCAATGACGTAGACCAGCATCTTGCGTTTCTTACCACCCATGTAGGTCGGCACCACCACGCAGGTCTTGGTCTCCTCCATCTGGCTATTGCCATAGCGAAAGCCTTTGGCGCATGGATACACCTCCACCTCCGCCATGTCAACACCTTTCTCCGCCAGGTACTTGATGTACTTCTTCACCTGGTGCCTCGATCCGAGGAGAGCACCTGCGCCGCCATCTTGCACCGCGCTGTCTTCGCCTTCAGAATCTCCATCATCCAAGCTGTATACCTGGGCATCCATGTTCTCGACCATGTTGATATCCTCGGCATCGTCATCGAGCCGCTTCCGCTTCTCGCCGTTGCCACTCTGAGGACAGTTCCGTGCCCAGTGTCCTGGTTGGCCACATAGTTGTTTCCCAAGAGCTCTTTCCAGAAGGTGAGCTCGGTCCTGGCATCTGCTTGCCCTTTCCTCCTCCTGGTCCTGGCCCTTTGGGTCTGCCCTTGAACTTCTTTCCACTGCCCTTGCGGCCATCCTTCTTGCCATAGCTGCCACCGCCGCCGCCAATCCTTCGCATCAACGTAGGCCGAGTACACGTCGTCATACTCGTCAACGTCGTAGACCTCCACCGCCTCACCGTAGTCCTCGGCAGGTTGGTCGTAGTAGTCCTGGTCGAAGTCCAACCAGCCCTCGTCCTCGCTCAGGAAGTGCACATCCAAGTAGTTGCTCGGGAAGTCTTCATCCTCAGGTTCTTCCGGGCCCCAGCTTTCACCAGCGTAAAAGATCTCCTTCCTGGGTCCTCGGTTCCATCTTCCCGAATTCTCTGACTTGGAGTCCTGGCCGACGATAAAGAACATGGCTTCCTGGGCGGCCTCCACGGTCATCTTCTCGGTGCCCATGGTTGTGAGCACCATCTGACGTTGTTCCCGCGTGATGCCGCTCTTCCTGATGAACCACCAGGCCAGCACCTTCTCCGGCAGCTCCACCTTGTGCGATGACCTCAGCTTCCGATGAGCTCTGGCGAAGTCCGCCGAATACTCCTGCAAGGTCTGCTCTGGCCTCCGCTGGAGCTTGACAAAGAAGTTCTCAAAGTCGTCTGGCAGCTCCGTCATAGGGTCGTACTTGAATCCGCTGTCCAGGCGAGCAAACATCTTGTCGTAGCCATCAGCCTCACCTAGGGACGTGATGTCCAGGTCTTCCACGAGGTCCCAAGCCTTGCCCTGCAGCATCGTGATGATGTTGTATGAAGTCTCACGGCCTCTGCCAGCCAGCTCCATCTTCCTCTTGTAGATTTCACATCTCTTCCTGAATTCGCGGTAATCGCGCTGCTTGCCATTGAAGATTGGCACATAGTTGTCGGCCTGTCCAGTGTTCACCTCCGATTTATGAACCTTTTCCACCACCTGATCCTTCCGCCTCCGGCATTCTGGTTCAGGTTGAGTTCCAGGGCCTGCAGCGGCTTTAGAATCTTCGCGATCGCCCGAATCTCGGGCTCCGCTACCAACTTCAAGAAGTCCAGAACGCACGAGGTTTCCAGACCATGCCACTGCACCGACAAGTGCGAACGAAATGAGGGGCGCAGCTGTTTTGATCTCGAGGCCCACCCCTGTATGCACGCAAGGGTGGTTTATCCACAAAGGTTTCTGGAGGAAACTTCACAGGATCCCATTGGTTTTGACCCACAGCCATATAGTTGTACGGGGACCCCAACAAAGACCAAGGTCTGGAAACCGCTCCTGATCTGAGGCGAAGCGGAAAAAGGTGGCTCCCAGGATTACGCCGCAGACCAGGCGCAGGAGCATCGACAGGGCAAAAAAGATGCGGCTGGAGGTCTGCTTCTGTCCTCAGGGTTCTGCCAATGGCATCCAAGAAAAAACCCAAGAGATTCCGGAAAAGGAAAAGACAAAACAACATGGTTGGTTTTGGTGAGGGTAAGCAAACAATCAAAACCACACCCTGATGTTTTTTTGTTTTTGCGGGAAAGCAACAGAATGTGGTTTAAACACAGGTGGCCTAACGTAACTTGTTTCTTCTTTTTTTTTTTCGGGGTTGGCGCTACGCCGGAGAGCTCCCTTATGGTCACCATGGATAATTCCCAGGACTACTTCATCACTTCAGGATTCCATGGGTGTGGCCCGAAAACCCTATTTTTAGATGGGCGGACAGTAACTCTTTTTCCAACCCGGTGCATGTTGATAACCCCGATCCATTCTCCACAGCCATGCCCGGGTCCTATTCCAAACCTAGAATAATTCTTCGGGCGCAGCAAGTGCGCTGGCTGCCAAACCACATCCATCACACTGCCAGCTCGCCAGCAAGTCAGCAGAACCATAACTATAAACACCTCAGAACCCCAGCGGCCTGGGAAACAAAAGGAGACCCCCCAAAAAGGGGTGACTTGAAAGGCAAAATACCTCAAAGAAAAGCAGTACAAAGTCTGCAATCACTGGTCCGGGAACTCCCACGCTAATGTACGGAGAAGTCGCAAGATGGACCCCAGGCACGGCTGCTACGCCAATGACCTCTCCAAATGAGCATATCCAAACCTGGGTGGATCCAAGACTGATTACAAACTGTTTCTTTTGGCAAAAGGATATGGGTATGGGTCAAAAATCAACAACTAGGGGACCTCAGGTTTTAGTGCTTGGTTCCATTTGGCAGGGTTCCATTTTGAGTACATAATTTTGATCCACAGCTATATGTTTTGGTTTTCGCTGGTCCAGGAAAGCGACCGGACTCAGTTTTCCAAATGGCGAAAAGATGATTTGGGCCACCCCAAGCAGGGCTCCATATTGGGTGTTGATTTTAACACGGGACCCGATGGTAAACATCATTAAAGGTTAGGAGCTGCACGGGACATTTTGAGGTGTGTCTTGAAGCGGGGGGAACCCAATAATGACTGTTCCCTCTCAACTGTTCAGTTTCTGAGTGGAGTGGCCAAACAAAGTCTGAACCTCTTCTTCACCACTAAAATGATCGAAATTCCAAAAGCCTGAAGTCCGCGAACTCAGGGAGTGAGAGACCCATCCAAAAAATTGTACCATCAAAAATGGTGCCAGGTGCCACACCCCAAATTGGGACCCCTAACCTTGCCGCCAAGAAGCCAGGCCCTGCCTGAAATATTGCCCTCTCAGGGACCGCCGTGTTGCTTCCAGGCGGATGCTGCGGCGAAATCGATCCGCCGGCCCGGCGGGTGCAGTCTGAGTCGACTGGCTCCATGCCCGAAGGAACTGCATTCAAAACACAACCCCCAAGACCCAGTTGCCAGTGGAAAATGGCGAGGTTCCAGTCGGGGAGTTCCTCTTGGCTTTCTTTGGGGGGAAGGGAGGATTCCCGGTTTTGTGCAAAGGGGAACAATTCTTCTTGGGTTGGTCGGGGATTTGATTTCGACATGGGCTCTCTTGGGTTGCTCATCACCTTGGGCTGGGCGCCAAACAGACCCCCAGCGAGTTAACCATTTTGCTGGTTGAACAGGAACAGGTTGGAAGAAAGAATGGAAAAAAAAAACTAGAAAGGTAGGTTAAGTCTCGCTAGGCTATGTCGGAACCCGAAACAGTAAACAAGAAAGCACAGCTGCCCAACTGGCCTACAGCCCCGTGTTGGGCGCTGAAATTTACAAGGCCCGAAGAACGCATCCCAGAAAAGACCAAACGGAAGATGACTTTGCATTGCCCCCTGCTTTGATTCCTACTCCCAGGCGGGGGTGTTTGATGGATCGAACCGCATTTAGCACCCCATTTCTCGGGTAGCTCGCCCTGAAAGGTCCCCACAAAGGCCGGCTTACGCCCATGAGCCGAAAGAGCGACGAGTAGCTGCCACATATTGATCCGACACAAGGGGTCTTAAATTGCTGTGGGCCCCACTTCTGTGGTGGAAAGTGTCTTTGTGAAATCTGAGCCAATAAAACAAGAAAATAATACTTTTCAACAGGAATATGAGGGCGTTGCCAGGGCAATGGCGGGAATCTGGATGTATGTGCTGATTGTAATTCATGCATGCACAAAAGGGTTGATGAATGCAGGCAAGCACGCAAACCAAGAAGCCAAGCAGCCAACCGAGTAGAAAAGCCGTAGGTAAACCAACGAAAAGAAGAGGGTCAACAGCGCCTTGCAGGACAACTGGACAACTGAAACGGCCCAAGTGGACACATTTCTGTTCAAAATATGTTTCAACCCATTTGGAGGCAACCAACTGATGCAGCCAAGTGGATCGATCGCTTGGGTGTGGACTCTGCCCCAAAGACCCGGAAATTCCAGGTGGGGGTGTCTTCTTTTATTCGACTTTTCGAGGCTGAAAGAATCCCAAAAGGCCAACCTACGGTCCCTCAGTAAAGTGGGCAAACACGTCCGAACTTGTTCACCAATGTTGTGGTCCAACTCAAGGAGCGAGACTCAACCTTGGCACAGCTTGCACAATGGGTTGACTCATTCCGTGCTATTAGCTAGTGCTTGATGGGCAACATCAAAGCTGGTAACCCAACACCAACATTTCCGCAGCTGAGTGGTAAACAGGACCTTGCAAAACGGGGGTTACCCTTTGACCGACCGCCTTTGGAACCAATCACGAAACCACAAAACTGCACTTTTCGGCTGTAGACTAAAACCATGCACCTTTCGGCCCTAGACCACATGATGCAGCAACCTACCAACATATAGACCCGTTATTTGGCCAAGCACCCACCAAAAAAAAGTATCCTGGAGAGAATGTCCTGCAACCTAGATACCCGCAGTAGCTTGCCAACTCAAAAACAATGAACGTGGCAACGCAAAGTGGTTCGAAAGGTGCCCGCCTTGCACCAGCCGAGAAATGGTCGGCTCCAATCCTCGTTGCGAGCCAACCCCAACGAGCCCCTGTCTAAGAAAACAAAGCCAACGGACCCACCGATTTTCTACTTGTCCTCATCTTTTGGGAACTGCTCTGTTTTGCAACCTGGTTTCTTGGGGTGGCAACTCAACCTGCCATGACAGGTTGGTGCCCGTACCCCAGGCTTGGAGCGCAAGCGACAAGAGCCAGTTTCGCTCATCTCATAGGAGCCCTTTTGGGGCGTACCCAATGGCTGCCCCCACGACCAAAAATGAGCCGAAGCAAAGAAGCCCTTCCCGGAGCCACACTTTTGCCCACAACATCCAGGAAGGAACCAACGGCTACCCCGCAGGAAAGGTTCTTGGACCTTGTCTTTGAGGGGTTCTTAGAAGGGTTCTGAGTATCTTTCCGGAAGGGTAGGAAGGGCCTTGTTGTCTCCCCTCACTGAGTGGTGTTCACAATGGACCAGCGTGGCATTCAGCGAGACTTTCGAGATTCACTCCACCCTTTGGTTTGATTACGGTTCTTGTTTTGTTAAAGGAAGCTTATCCTGATTACATAAAGGACAATCCTTCCCTCTGGCTGAGCTGGTCTTATGATGGCTGCAACAACCCACATCCACTGCAGCCTTCTTCTCACCTGATGCAGAATCAATCTCAGGATGCCACTGCTCCTAGCTGCAACTAGCCCGCGGCTTTCATTTTGCGCACATGCATATCTTGGCTTGCTGGCTACTGGGGAATCCAATGGGTGTCTGCCAATATCCCCAACACATCACTGTACACTGGCAACCAACAAAATGGACAGCAACACGTAGTCAACCTGCAACCCTAAACCTAGAAGCATTTAATTGTGTTTCTTGGATAATCACTTCAGCGGGCAAAGATGTACAATGTGGGCGTGTCATTCTTTTGGATGGGCGGGGACTCCCCACATGGGGCTGGTGTTCTTTTAGGTTTCCCTTCAAATCCCCGAAAAGGGCACCGAGCCTCCCATCTTACCAAACATTGTCCAAAATAAACACCTGGGTGTGTCTTTATATATAGATATACATATATATATATATATATTTAGGGACCCCCCAAAGTTGTCGTTTCCCTTTTGGTTTCCAAGACCGCAACGCCTCAAACCAACGCTCCGAGGCTCTACTCCAGAGCCGCTTCTCCAACTTGTCTGCAGCCGCTTGCCTCGCTCGCGCCTGCACCTGGGGTACTCGAAGGCAAGCTAACCTGGGTGTAATAAGAGACCCTTTGGTGGACATCATTTTGGGTT